CCCATCTTGAGGAGTTTGCCCCCTCACATATACTAATGTGCCACAAACAGGACTTTAATATCACCAACCATTCCCATTTTATTTCAGTGTATCCATATAAATGGCCCACCCTAGATATATTTTTTCAAAGGGGTATTAATAGAGGAAACCTAATAGTTTACCATGAATAGGAAGAAAACCAGGTTTAAACCTTTATCTTTCATTTTGTGTTGCATTTTTCTCTTGTTGCAAGTTGAAAACACAAAGCTATAATGTATTATTGCTATCATTTGGCTATCTGGGGAATGCATGAGACTAACACACAACTGTTAAGAAAAAAAGCTATTTAAGTAAGGATGAAAATTATAATCACCAACCTGCATCCTTAATTAATTAAATACAGACAATAATTTGTATAGATGATAATTTTAGCTTGCATATACTTCATTTGAGTCTCATTGCACGCAGGTCTGACAACAAGCCTATATGTCCACAGCATTATATAAGTAATCTATTCACAGCTACTTATAATTGTATTATCAGGGCATCAATGTGTACTGGAGTAAACAAATGCTCTCATCACTTGCTGTCACCAGGCAGTAATGTTGCCTTCAAGTGCGGCCTGGAGGTAGATGAAAATCGAGTTGTCAAAGGATTTTTAATTCATAAATCTAATTTCGTCTAATGTGGCGTCTAATTGTGCAAAGTGTTTGAACTGTATCGTGAATTTAGTGGGTAATACCACACACTAAAGTATTTTTGATTAAACAAGACAGAGAAAGTACAATAAATGATGGTCGTTTCTATGTTATGTCTTATAGTAACGCATAATAACTCTTATGTTACGCAAATTTACCATGAAAACACCGCCGCTGGAATATGTATTCATATGACTTTATCATTGGAAAATATTTGTAAAGCCTTACCGTTTTAGCTGAGCGAACGCAAATATTTACAACACTCGAGAAGTATTTAAACGCCGCATCAGTTTGCCCAGCTACACATTCTTCCAAAGCGTGAGCTCACCAGTCACGTGAGCTAGAGCTTGCCAAGCAATTGGCTGCTTCACGCCGGGGCAGTTGTTTTTGTTATGAATCAGGAAGCTCTTCTTTCAAAATTGGGTGTGTAGTAACACGTTAAGACGGAGAATTAAAACCTCTTTTTAGTGACTGGGTTCTTAAATCGTGACCTGATATCGAAGCCGCTTACAGCTAAACAACCACCTTCTTCGCTGAAGACTAGACGATATTCGTAAGTATCAGCTAGTGGCTACCTGACTTTCTTTGTTTCATTTACTTCAAGCAGTCGGAGTAGGTTGAACTTTCTAACAAGTGCTGGATTGGGCTTAGTTTGTGAATATAACGCTAGAAAAGATGTCTACTAAGAATAAGAAGAGTCAAGTTTAGTCTTCATTAGCACTAGTGAAAGTTCATTTTGAGCTGTCAAAACTAAGTACTCCTACTACAGATGGTAACCTATACCCCAGTGAATGCGTTATCAGCTCTTGTATTTTCACTTTTGATCTCTTCCTGTTTCGTATTGGAACACAGATATCTGGACATTAAAGACAGTTTTCACACACTTTTGTGGCTTTGAGGGTATTTCTAAGGTTTTAGACTACATTCTGTCTTTAAAGCCTGCTAACAAATTTTATTTTTAAACAGCAGGAAACCTTTAAAGCTTGACGAATACATAACCTTCAAGACTGATCAGTTCACACATATACACAATCACAAATACATCTGTATATAGCAGAGGCATGATGACGTATTGAGGACATATGTCAGGCGAGTTATAGGAAAAACAGTACATGTATTACAATAGAAACCAGTTGACTCACAGGCTTGTAAACATCCAGAGTCTCATTAAACATGCCCATCAGTACCTCTACAACCATGATGTGATTTTTATTTTATTTTGTTTTTATTTATTTTTTTCCAAACTAACAAACACTAAAACTAACAATATTCACTCTATGTTTCTACTTTAATTCTCCTTATTCAAAAATCGTTCTATTTGTTTACCTTTTTTTGGGAGAAGACAGATCCACAATTTATTAAACTCCGCATTTTTTTCCAATAGCGTGCAGTGCACCGAGATCCTGTATGGTTGGTGTGTGGCGCAGAAATGGCGCTGGAGGAAGGGGCACGTAGCTGTCTGCTGCGCTTCCGCCAAAAACTGGAGGAGGACATTAAGCCCACCTACCTGATGGATCACATGATCAGTGATGGTGTGATGACTGTGGATGAGGAGGAGAGGATCAGGACTCAGGTGAGCTTCTGGTGGTTTCTACATTTTCTAGAATTAATACTGTGGTCAATGAAAATATTGCTTGACATTACTGAAGCCCTGTCCTCCTTTCCTCCTCTCAGACTTTATTGTCCATGTATTGAGTCACCCTCCTCCTACCTTTATTTACTGAGTCAAGTCTTTGTTTTCACACGTGTGTTGACTTTGCCATTTTCTGTGGACACAAGACATGACGATAACTGTAGATAACTCATTTTCCCCTTAAGGTTATTTAGTAATACATTACCTTGGATTTCGCCATAGAGAAGCAATACTGTGTCATTAAAATGATGTTCCGTTAAGTAACTGAGGCATACATGAACAGAATGCTTTTTGGCTGCTGTAGAAATCAAACTAACAGCAAAACCAATAAGTGTGTACAATTTTAATGTAACTTTACATTCTCTTTTTAAATGATTAATAATACAACTGTATTCCAACCTTTGCCAACATTTTGCCAACATGGGATTTCCCCACTAGATGATGCAACTGGTTGATTTCTAGAATACAGCTGGCTTAAACCATGCACAAATGTTGTAACATGAACAATCTTTTTTGTGGAATGTATCTCAGACTCCTAACATTTATTCAAAACATCGTCTGGTATGGTTTCTACCAGATCATAACATTTCACATCTCATCTCTGATGTTTCTGTCTTCAGCCTACCAGGAAGGATCAGGCCGGAGCACTAATAGAGCTCTTGTTGAGAAAGGACAACCTTGCCTACATTTCTTTCTACAACGCACTGGTCAGAGAGGCATATGACGATTTGGCCAGTTTGCTCCATAGGGACCTGCCGCACATCTCATTGAATCCACATAAGGGCTCTTCTGATGGCTCTGCAACTTATGGTAAGAAGTAGGAAGCTGTGGGCGAGGATGGTGGAGGTTCGATAGGTTGTGCTGTTAGTGTGTGGGAGTTCATGAGTGCTGGTAGAAAAAAAAAGGATATGCAGAGTCTGCTTGTTGTGTGGGAGTTGATCTTGATCCTGACTGAGCATCTTCTTAGTATTAAACTTAGTGTTGTTTTTTGTATGATAACTCTTCAAACACTCACAGTTTTGCTTTGTTCAACAGTTCAGTCAATGCTTAGTGAAGGCGGCATCCCACAGAGGCCTGTAGTGTTTGTCAACAGACCAGAACTGGTGAACAGGGCCAGGGAGAAGCTTTACCGGCTCCAGAAGGAGCCCGGCTGGATCACTGTCTTTGGCATGGCTGGCTCGGGGAAGTCCGTCCTAGCTGCTGAAGCTGTTAGAGATCATGGAATCATTGAAGGTGAATATTTGACTGATATAAAGCACTAACTATCAATATGAATTAGTTTGAGGCAATGAATGAAACTGAGAAAGGAAAAGCTTAAAACAAAAAAGTTTTTGTAATCGTTGATGTACTTTTCTGGGTCTCTTACTGTCATAGATCACTAATGGACTCAGCTAAGATGATGTTGTTGCTAATGATCCACGAACTGACAGATAGCAGTTACTTCTCTGTAGTTTGACAACTCTTGCTCCTTTAACTCTTTCTTCCCTCTTATCTCCAGATTGCTTTCCTGGAGGCGTCCACTGGCTGTCCATCGGCCAGGTGGACAAGCCAGACCTGCTGGTTAAAGTTCAGTCATTGTGTTTTCGTCTGGAGCAGAGCCTTGATTCCCAGCCCCTCCACCGTCCCCCAAACTCTCTGGATGAAGCCAAGGAGCGTCTACGCTTCCTCATGCTGCGCAGATATCCAAGGTCACTATTTAGTAATTATATGTGATCTCCCAATTTTTTATTTATAATATTGAGTTTAACATGAAATACTTTAAATTTAATCAATCAATATGACAGAAGTAATATGTATATAGAATAAGTTAGTATATCATTTACATTAACCATGCCATTCTAATATCGACATGTACAAGTAAAATAATAAAGGATGTAAAAAATAATTAAAACAGAAAGCTACAGTATACATGTAAAGTATTTTTAAAGTTACTGAACCAGATGAATTGTGTCGGTCAACAACGCCAACATTATTATTATTTAAGTCAAGTCAGATGTAGTTTATTGGTGAATTATGTTTTATGTATATACCACTGATTTAAACTAGAGATGGACCGATCCGATATTACGTATCGGTATCGGTCCGATACTGACGTAAATTACTGGATCGGATATCGGAGAGAAATAAAAAATGTAATCCGATCCATTAAATATCAAAAAAGCACCTCACAAAACTTGCGACACAGCGTAACTCGGCTCATAACCGTAGCATGTCGTAGCAGTGTGCTCACGTAATAGAGCGGCTGTGTGTATTTGTAGCTTCGCTACCAAACCGGCATTTCATCTCCGATGAAGTTATCCCAGAGAGAAGTAAAGCAAGTGTGTAAGTTCATCTCTGAATGTTTGTAAAGCATTCCAGCATTAAGCATAACAACCGATATATGGAGCAAGTGCCTCTTCTCTCCCTCTCCCTCTCCTGCTGCTACTTCAGTGGTGAAACTGATTAATGATCAGCTGATCGGCTTTTCTGTCGCGAGTCCGTCTCTCTTGTTTGTTTATCGCCCACTTCGCGCCAGAAAGAGGAAACCAGCGGCTGAACAACAGCAGCACGTTTAAGCTTGATAAGCTGTTGTTAGAATTTATTTAATATTACTTTCTACACCAGGATCCTTTTCTACGTAGCTGATGGCTGGTAACTGTGCAGGGGCGGATCTAGCAAAGTTTAGCCAGGGGGGCCGATAGGACATTAACAGGGAAAAGGGGGCACAAAGACATACTTTTCTTTCTTATTCTCATTTAAAATGTCTAGCTTTTAATAAATAATTATCTGAATCTTACAGCCAAAGTTTTAATCTTATGTAAAATATATAGAAGTCCATTACTGTATATAGTAACTGTTAAGTCTAATATACCCTAGTAAGCTATACTACTTTTTCCTTTGGGAAGATACCATCTGTGCAGTCTGCAGTTCTGTTGAAGAAATATGTTGAATCTATTTAATTATTCTTGAAAAATAATTTATTTCTGTGCATTTTTTTTCCACACTGCATCAAATTAAAGTTGATTACGTCGTTTAAGTTTATTAGATTGATCAGTATTGCTGAACTATGAAATATTTTGGGTGCAGTGTATTTTTTACATACAGGTATAACAGAATAGCTTTAGTGTTGTTGTTTATTTAAACTTGAGTATGAACCTATACAAAATGCAGCAAGATATTAAAAAAACTGTTTTATTGATTAAAAAACACACTATATCGGATTCATATCGGTAACGGCAGATATCCAAATTTATGATATCGGTATCGGACATAAAAAAGTGGTATCGTGCCATCTCTAATTTAAACACCGCAGGAAATATAAACTGAGACATTTGAACTGCAATAATGCATTAAAAACAATTCAAATTTAAGTTAAAAGAAAGTTTCAAAAAGTTAAAGACAACAACTTTAAAAATTCAACAGACATTTTAGGTAAAGATTAATTGTTTCGACGGGGTGTTGGAGATAAAATAACTGTGTAATAAATGTATCCTATGTCACCAAACAAAATTCCTTGGAAAGTTGAAACTTTTACTAAAGAAGAAACTTGGTTACATAGAAAATATAAAAAAATGATGTGTTCAGTAACTCTAAATCTGCGTATGGAAAAATAGAAGCTTAAAGGTAAAAGGAATGCAGATGGTTTCATGTGCTGAATGTTGTCTAACTGCTCTGCTGCGACAGATTGTTCACCTGAAAGTGAGTAAGTGGTGCAGCCACAGTCATTCGGATGGTATCTACGTCAGCAGACGTAAACAGTCAGCTGATTAAAAAAGCAGCAGCTGTGACAAATTCCTTCTTTCTTTTGTGTTTTTTAGATCTCTGCTGATTTTGGATGACATCTGGGATAGTACAGTGTTGAAGGTGTTTGACATCCACTGTCGTGTTCTTCTCACCACCAGAAATAGAAGCCTCACTGATTCTGTTAGTGGTATGTGCTTTGTTGTTTTTCTCTGGTCACTGTACAGACTTAAGTGGGTGAAATTTCTGCGATTACTTTTCTGTATACTGAAAAATACTCTGCATTGACTGTTTTTGTAGGTGCTAAGCACGAGGTGGAAGTTGAAAGCGCTTTGGATGAAAACAAGGCCTTGGAGATCCTTGCTCTGTACACTAGAATAAAACTGCAAGCACTACCTGAGGAGGCTCGCAGCATTGTCAGAGAGTGTAAAGGTATGTATCCTGACACTGACTAATAAAGAAATCTAAGAGAAGCCTAGAAGTCTTTCCTAATATGGGTGATGTTATTTTTTTATAAGAAAACATGGCTAATTTCAATTTAGTTTTTGCTTTCTGGGAAAACAAATCAAGCTTTGTGACGATTTAGGTCTCATATCATTTTAGGGTCATGTGCTTTAAAAAAAAAAAAACACATTTCTGTTTCCTTGCCCCTCATGTCAGGCTCCCCTTTGGTGGTGTCTCTGATCGGAGCGCTGCTCAGAGAAAAACCAAACCGCTGGCGTTACTATCTCAGCCAACTGCAGATGAAGCAGTTCAAGCGTATAAGGAAGTCATCATCTTATGACTATGATGCCCTGGATCAGGCCATGGCTGCTAGCATCGAGGTACTTCCTGATGAGCACCGAGACCTTTACAAGGATCTTACTGTTCTACAGAAGGATGTCAAAATCCCCGCTAAGGTTTGTCTGCACAAAAGGAGATTGTTTATGATCCCTGTATTTTCTGACACAGTGACATAACATTTTAAAATTTAATGCTTTTTGCAGATTAATGGCATATTATTCTTCCACAAGGTTAAGAACGGTTAATTGTGTTGTTCTTTCTTCTCTCAGGTGCTGTCTGTTCTTTGGGATCTGGAACCTGAGGAGGTGGAGGACATCCTGGAGGAATTTGTTAACAAGTCTCTGCTGTTCGTGGACAATAACAGTAAACCCTACCTGTACTACCTTCACGACCTCCAGATAGACTTCCTGTTGGAGCAGAACCGAACGCAGCTTGAGGTCAGTCTAAAGGCATCCTTCAACTGAAGTGGGCAGTGATTGTCAATTAAGCTACAAGTTTTAAGAGGCCAGGCTAACTAATTAGCTACATTAGGTTTAAATTAGCTCTAGCATAAAATCAAAGCTATAAATCCAATGTCATTATCAGATGCATATTCTTTAACCCAACAAATATGGTTGTTTGCTGTTGTGTGTGTGCTTATTTGGGTTTTCTGTGTTAAACAGAGCCTTCACACTAAGGTGGTGCGTCAGTACCAGCAGCATTACAGAGACGGTCCCCCCACTTCAGGAGACGAGGAATCTCTTTACTGGATCCGATATTTGACCTACCATATGGCCAAAGCCAACCTTACCCAGGTAGAAGTGATAATTATTTTCTTTTTCTTTTAAGTGTGTTTGAACCTAGTAATTCATTACAGTGCTGAACAATGAAATGGCTTTCTCATTTTCTGTTCTACAGTATGGGAAACCATTTTTATGATAGATAGATAGATAGATAGATAGATAGATAGATAGATAGATAGATAGATAGATATCTACATATATACATAAGTTAAAGTAGACCAGACTGCACAGCCCTATGCAGTGTTTTAAGATGACGTATAAGTGAGAAATAATAGCAGGGTTTTATTTCTTCAGTCTACCTTTTTTCTCACCATGCCTCTGTCTCTCTGTGTCTTTTTCTCTTTTGGTTTCTGATTATCTCTCTGTCTAGGAGCTCTACTCCCTCATGTTCTCTCTCAACTGGGTGATCATCAAGGCCAAGATAATGGGTTCAGCTCATCTCATCAATGACTATGTGGAGTATGGATCCATTCTGGACCAAGAGGTCAGGACATAAAAAAAATGGCCACTGTGTCTATTGCCCGTTTCACATATGGGATACACATATGTGTTCAGATATGGGTCACTTTTAACTTAATATTTATCACTGCCACACAAACCTTTGGTTTCTATGTACAAGTAGTTTTTCAAGGCATAAGATTAGTTGAGTAGCATGACGCAGAGCCTGAAGATAATTGTTTTGTTTTTTTATTTCCAGTCATATTTTCACTGAGCGAAGCAACTCACAAAGATGCATGAGAGATATGTGCAGACTGCAGGAATTATAAACTTGTGCATACCTATCTGTTGCATCAAATTAGTGAAAATGACAGTGTCCTTGATGCTTAAATTTCTGATCTCCATGTACAAAAAGAGTAATTCAACAAAGAATGAGAGTGCAGCTCATTCTACCTCATCCCGAGGAAAAATACAGGTTTAGACTCCGTCTGTCTTTCATATACTTTATGAATTAAATAAAAAGGTTGACCTTTAATTTTCCTACCTCCATTTTTTTTTAATTATCACATTTTCACTTTGTAATTTTCATCTTTGCAAGAGAACATGCCATGGTGCATAATAGCAATTACTTACCAATCAAACTTTTGCAAAGTTATTCTAACTTAGTGAAGAATAGTTATGATAACAAGTGACAAGATTTGGGTAGTTTCCCTTTAATGTGACCTGGTGTTTGCAGTGGACTCAAGTATGCTTGTGTTTTCTTTGCTTCCAGAACAGTGAAGTGCGCAGTCAGTTCCAGGAGTTTCTGTCTCTGAACGGCCACCAGCTTGAGCAGCGTCCTTTCCCTGATGTTGTGCAGCTTGCTCTGTCTCAGCCGCCCAACTCCGAGGTCTACAAACAAGCTCGACTGCAGGCACAGAACCGGACCAAAGCTGGGAAACTCTACTTTGACTTGGTGTAAGAAAGCAAGCATTTAATATGGTGTTCTCTTTATAATGGAGATATTTCAAGTTGCTTTTTACATCTCATTATTAGTTAGTTTGTTATTGAATTATATGATAACTCGTTTTCGTTGTTAAATCTGTACTCCCTTCTTTAACATGTAAGATTTTAGATGACATTTGCTGTTACAATGCAATTAAAATGAATATTCAAGATATAATATATCTGAAATTGTTATTATTTCCATTCTAATGGTGTGTACAAGCTTTGAACTCCTGCTTTTACTGTTTTGTGTGTGTGTCGTGTTTTTGAATACAGGAATAAGAGTGGTGTAGACAATCTGTCTCGTTTGGTGATTCACCCCCACCAGGGCTCCATTTACTCAGCCTGCTTCTCACAGGATGGAACCAAAATTGCTTCTTGTGGAGCTAGCAAGACACTCAAGGTACCATTTCACCGGCAAAGCATCAAAAGCAACAGCAGAATGGACCAAAATGCAGTCATTAACTAGAATTGTTCAGCTCTCTGAAATCTACAAATAGCTTCAGTAACACTTTGTCGTAACCATTGTTAAAAGCTGTAAATTCATAGTTTATTAAACTTTAGTCAGGAGTTTTTAGTGTTACATGAGGAACTCAATATTGTACTGATGAAACGTGGCTTCGCTGCCATCTTTGCAATGGTGTGCAGGTGTTTAAAAGTACCTCAGGTGAGAAGCTCATGGAGATCCCTGCCCATGATGACGAAGTGCTTTGCTGTGCCTTCTCCCCTGACGGCCGTCTCTTAGCAACCTGCTCTAGTGACAGAAAAGTCAAGGTACACAGTCCACAGCACCATTATGACTATGTTATGATTAAGAAATAAGCGAGTAAAATAACACAGAAATCAGCCATGTTATCCTGATGTTCTTGACACTGCAGGTGTGGAATGGAGAGCGAGCAATGCTGCTTAGAACGTTTGAAGAGGAGCACGAAGAGCAGGTCAACCACTGCCAGTTCACCAACACATCAGGGCGCCTCCTTTTGGCCACCTGCTCCAATGACGATATTCAGAACGTCAAGGTTTGTCCATCAATTCATCTATTAATTTTCATTGTTTATCCAGTTCAGAGTCTCATTTGTGTTAGAACCCAGCTGTCATAGGAAGAGAGGCCTGGACAGATTGCTAGCTAACACATGCACATAAAAACACAAGGAAAAAAGGGGCTAATATGTTATGTAATGTGCATTTTCTTTGCTTCGTTAGTTGTGGAACCTCAATAAGCCATCCTCCCAGAACACCATGTTTGGTCACTTTCAACCAGTCAACCACTGCTGTTTCTCTCCTGATGACAAGTATCTGTCAACTTGCTCCAACGATGGTACCCTTAAGGTGACTGCCATTAGTCCTGATACTTGCTTTCTTTTTGATACGGTAACACACACTGAACTAGAAATAATTATTAGCGGGTGAAGTGCTCTGACATATACACTGTTTTTGTTTAATTAAATCTGAAGTGACGGATTTAAATGGTAAAGATTTTTTTTCTTAAATATGTTTTTGTACTTTTGTTGGACAACATGTTTCCTAGTCATGAGTTTACAGTCCCAATATTTTTATAATCCCTGGATTAAAACATTTGATTCTAGAAGAACTTTACTGCAACATAATAGGCAAATGATGGTACTCGCTTTCTATTTAGATCATTTATTAGTAACTAAATTTAGAAATACTGATATGCTTTACATACCTTGGTCTTGTAATGCACTGACTTGCATGATTCTGCATGTTTGCAGGTATTTGAGGTTTCTTCTGCCAATGAATGGAAGACGATCAATGTAAGTGACATGTTTACAGACAACAAGGAAGACGTCTTTGTCAAGTGTAGCACCTGGACTGCCGATGGCAAACGCGTCATATGTGCTGCCAGAAATGCTGTTTTGGTGAGCATTTATCATTGTAAGCATGCTGCTGTATGATCCTGTACGCTGTTTTGTTTTGTTTTTTTTTTTTGTAGGTGGTGCTAAATGTTTGATAAAATTGGGTGCATATGGTTTGGATATTGTTCATTATCTTAATGGTTTCTCGCTGTACTGATTAAAAATTGAACACATTCACTCTATCCTCTTTGCCCTTGATGTTGGTGTGCTGTTTCACTGAAGGAGACAGGAAAGAGAGCTTGTTTGTCTTCTAGAGAGTCTAAATAGTGTGTCTTGGTTATAAATGTGCACATCCCCTCTCATCCTCTCCTGAGCTTTCCAAAGTCAGCCAGTCTTGTCTTGTTATCAGCCTCACTCTGTTCCCTACATCTTCATTTATTTGTATTCTGGGAACCCAAACACAGTGAAAATTCATAGGTTCTTTTACTCTAAGGTGACTGAAAGGAGAGGCTTTATAAACTTGAGGAAAATTGCAACATTAATCCTAAGGCATGAAGAAAATCTTTTTCTTTTTTTGATGCAAAGCACAGAGTTATTGTAGAGCACATTAATACCTTGGTATACTTGATATTGTCAAATGACCTTTGAGCTTAAAACAAGTTGCGTAAGTTGTGAGTTGGGGCCTCCATGTGTCGGACTTGTTTGTCCAGCACATCCCACCGATGCTCGATTGGACTGAGATCTGGGGAATTTGGAGGCCAGGTCACGGACCAGCCTTCACCTTCCAACCTGCATCACTGAGTGTCAGCTGCCCATGACCCTGTCGCTGGGTGACTTGGATCAGTTTTGTTATTTACTGACCACTGCAGAGTTTTGTAGATGCTCTGACCCAGGCGTCTAGCCATCACAATTTGGCCATTTGTCAAACTGGCTTAAATCCAAACACTTGTCCATTTTTCCTCCTTCTAACACATCAAGTTTGAGAATAAAATGTTCATTTGTTCCCTAATATATCCCACCCACTAACAGGTGCCATGATGAAGAAATAATGGTCATAATGTTATGTTTGATTGGTGTAGCTTGTTCCCCAATAGGCATTGAGTTTGATGTTTGCCTAGACTGAATACTAAAGATGGCCGTGGCCACCAATTGGCTTGTCTTAAGCTTGGCACTTTGCTGTTTTAGGTTTTTCGAGCCGGGCCTGACCTATTTGTACAAATTGGTCGACCGCTAAGTTCTCAGCTATTTTTAGCGTTGCAAGGGATGCATGTAGGTACACTGCAGAGATACAAATATTTGCTAATTAGTGCTAACATATAAATGAACGAAATAGTCAAAGAATCAAAGAACTCACTGAGAATAAAACCAGGAGAGACAAATAACTGGGAAAGCCACGTTTTGTGCTTCTCCTTTCTTTTAATTTCAATGTGTTATTTGTGCAGTCGTAACAGCTTTTGGACATGTTGATGAGACAGCAGGTGCTGATTTGTTGTCTGTCTTTTATTGTTTCTCAGGTCTTTGATGTAGAGACATCAGACATGTTGTTTGAAATCAGGACCAATCGAATGAGCACAGTTCAATACTGTCACGCTTGCCCCACCAGTAACCTGCTGGCCATTGCATTTTCAAACTATGCTGTTGAGGTATCTCACTATATAGTTAATGTCTCCTTTTTTATATAAAATTCAAAATTTTGTATGTAAGTATGTAAAGAAAATTCTCAATAATACTACTACTAATAATAAAGATAAATAAATGTTTGTGTTCCAGCTGTGGGATCTCGAAGCCAATAAAAAGATGGCAGACTGCAGTGGCCACCTAAGCTGGGTGCAGCGTGTCCAGTTTTCTCTTGATGGCTCACAGCTGCTCTCCTGCTCTGATGATCAGACCATCAGGGTAAGACTGAGTGTGTGTGTGATAAAGCTACAGTATAACAGTACGGAGAGAGGCTGTCAGTGTTGTTCTAATTGCTTATTCTGACAGTAAAATTAACTTCACAAGTTGACTAATTACACTATGTTCCCCCCTTGCCAGCTGTTTCAGTTCTTAATGAGCAGTGCTCAGGGATGATGATGTAACTGTAGTACAAAAGGTATCTGGTCTTTTTTATGTGAATAAAATCAATGCATTTAGGCCATGGCAGAAATAAAGATCTAACAGTTATTGTGCTGCTTTATAAAAGAAAGAGTCCTTTATAGCTGTTGCTTTGACTTGCTTTTAAATTACTTCTCTGTTATTGGGTTACATGAAAATGGCAAAATAAACTATTTAACAGGTTTGTCTTGACTCATTGCTCTCTAAAACAAAATAATATGTATCATAAACATCTTGAAGACAATGTAACATGAAATATCTCTGCAGTTTAGCCTTTGGGGTGTTTTTACAGTTTTTACAGCTGCTGTTTTTCAAACAAGGTGGCAAAACTGTCCCTGACAGTCCACAACTACAGCAGAGCCTTCTGTACATACTGCTTATTAGGGGTGAGAGAAAAATGTCGATACTGCAGTGCATCATCTCACTTCACACTGAGATTGCTATGCTGGCACCAGATATTGATCGTGACACACAGCCACAGACTCACAGCCACAGACTCAGAAGATGAAAAGCAGTCACTCCTGTTGTTATAAACTTAACAGGGCAATAAATTGCAGGTCACACTAGGGAAAAGGTGAAATAAACAGACGTGTTGACAGTGTCCTCTTTCATCAAAAGGAAAAATCCTGACCTGCCGTGGCAAATATCCTGCAAGAAAAAAGAAAAGTACTTTGTGGCTATGTGTGGATTTGACTTGTTTTTACCAGAAACCCTCATCTTAACTGCCAAGAAGATGCCAGTGACTTAAATATTGCCACAACCGTCAATTTATTCAGTTTTCTTCTTTTTTTTTGTGGTGACATTGCATATATTCAACTCTAACTCTGGGTTATTATGTTAGATTTACATATCTTGTTCGTTCTGTTTTAAGATATGGGAGACCAAGAAGGTTCACACATCCTCAGCCATCCGCCTGAAGAGAGATTCTGACGTTCTGTTTAATCATGAGGAAATCATAGTGTCAGCTGCAGATAATTGCAACAGACTGCAGGTGAGTTGTTAGGAAAGTGGATATATCAAAGTGCATAGAGTTTTTTTGTGGCAGGAACGTGAAGCTGTAGTATTTTTGTTGGTTGGTACAGTGATTTAAAAAAAAAATTAAATATGCGTGTGTGTGTGTTTTAGGTGCGTGATGGTAGAACAGGATCGGTGCTGTTCCAGTCAGAGGAGAAGTCATCCAGGATCAGGTGTACCTGTATCTGTCGGCAGCCCTCTGCTGTTGTCCTGGGGCAAGAAGATGGCACTGTGCAGGTAGATTATACAGATTCTTACATTACTGAAGGACATAATAAATTGCACATAAAATAAGCATATCGAAAGTACGCTCACTTTCAGCTTTTTTTGGTACAAATTGCTAGTTCCAGGTTGAACTCTCTTTTCAGAGATTTTAGTATTCGTAGCTGACCAGAGTGGCATCCAGTGTGGTCTTTTGCTGCTGTAGTCCATGTGCTTCGTCTGGATGTGTTGTGTGGTCTTTTTTTGAATTCTGTGTAAACCCTAGAGGTGGCTGTGTGGGGAAAATCCCAGTGTTGTCATGCACCAACATCCAGACCACGCTGTGTAATGAGTAAATGAAATCACCTTTCATCAAATAATAATCTACAGTGTAATGTTTACTAAAAAGTAATGTTTCTCCTCTTTAACGCAAGTATAAGTACTCAAATACTGCAAATTTCATATATCTTTTTCCTAATCAAAGAAGCACATACGTGTATGGGCAGGTGTGCGTGTGTCTGTACAGATGTAAAAATGTCAAGCATTTGAGTTTAATCTTCCATTCCACATTGCTGTAGGAGGTGTTCTTTCAGGCCATGTTGAGTCATGAGATCTGACATTATCGCTGTCACGCTTTTTTTTTATCTGTCCGATCAGCGGTGTGACAGGTCAGCACCTCTTTCATCTCCTTTTCCCTTGACTTGTTTCAATTTTTAGCCTTTCCTTTTACCTGTAATTTATATTCTCAGTCCTTTTCACTCCTGCTCTCTGTATTTATTTATTTTTCTTTTTATCTATCTGTTTTTCTCCTTTGTTCTGTTTGTCCCCATTCTCTCCTTGCTCCACTGCTCTTTGTCTAGCTGATAAATTGCTGTTTGCAGGCAGAGAATGAGATTGTAGTCTGGTGAGTGTGTACTTAATGCATATTCTGCAGCAGTAGAGGACATCCCCCAAAGTTACTGTCCTATATTACAGCACAAACACTCACTCAAACAGGGTCCCCTGACACATCAGAACTGAGGCCAGTCCAGCCCCCTAAAGGAGAGAGCAGCTCTAATTAATTAAGAGGTCCTGCTGTCTTAATGAATACAGGAGCTAATGATTTTAATTACAGCTCCTCTCTGGCCCTTCATATGTCTCCCTTCCTGTCTCCTGGGAACAATTTTTGCAACCAGAAAGTAAAGAAAGAGCGATGATTAGTGATCCGAGACAATACCTGGAGAGAATTTTGATAAATGCAGATGCATACAAACAGTGATATTATCTATATTGCCAAAAGTATTCTCTCGTCTGCCTTCACACTCATATGAACTTGAGTGATACGTCATTCTTTATCCATAGAGTTCAATATAATGTGAGCCTGCTCTTTGCAGCTGTAATAGCTTCAGCTCTTCTGGGAAAGCTTTCTACAAGGTTTAGAAGTGTTTATGGGACGTTCTTCTTCCACAAGCGGATTTGTGAGGGTAGACACTGACAAAAAGGCCTGGCTCACGGTCTCCACTCTGTCATCCCAAAGGTGTTATTCCACACCAAACTTGCTCATCCATGTCTTTATGCATCATGCTTTGTTTACTGGTGTGCAGTCAAGTTGGAACAGGAAGGGGGCATCCCCAAAATACTCCCACAAAGTTGGGAGCAACAACCCCAACTCCTGAAAAACAACCCTACATTGCAATCCTCCTCCAAACTTTACACTTGGCGAAGTGCAGTCAGACAAATACCGTTTCCCTGGTAACCGCCAAACCCAGACTCGTCCATCGGACTGCCAGATGGAGACACGTGATTTGTCAATCCAGAGAACTCGTCTCCACTTCTCTAGAGTCCAGTGGCGGCGTGCTTTACACCACTGCATCCGATGCTTTGCAATGCACATGTTGATGTAAGGTCTAGATGAAGCTGCTCACCATGGAAACCCATTCCATGAAACTCGCTGCGAACTGTTCTTGAGCTAAACTGAAGGCCATGAAGTTTGGAGGTTTGTAGCGATTGACTCTGCAGAAAGTTGGTGACCTATGTGCGCTATGCACCTCAGCATCCACCGACGATGCTCTCTGATTTTTACATGGCCTACCATTTTGTGGCTGAGTTGCAGTCATAACCAATCGCTTCCACATCATCTTTATATATATTTGGCATCTTTTCACAGTACCACGCAGGAAATTACTGTGCCCCTGAGAGCGACCGATTCTTTCACAAGTGTGAGTCAGTGGGTTGGGCATTATTCTGAACACTGAATATAATCCGATTCCTGAATCTCTGTTTTCTATTCTGACACATTAAGAAATGAATGATTTAGGGGCATTTTATTGTTGCGGTTCTAGCACCAGGTGGAGCCCTAGCGTAAGCTGGATAAAATCGTGGCTCGTCGGACTGCTGCAGCTCATTCATATTTTTTTCCTTAAACGTGTTGATTTATTTATAGCCAGTGTACTGGAGAACAATTAGCAATGATCTGTCAGTTTGCAGCATTGTGAGCTGCCAGCTTTGTTATGCTAATGTAAAAAGTTGAAAGTTTGTGAAATACGTGCAGGAGAGAGAACATAATGTCACTGTGTGTTTCTGTATGATTGAAAAGTGCAAATGTGTGTTTGTGTGCACGTGTGCGTTGTGTGCCAGGCGTCAGGGCTGACAGTTAGTCATCTCCTAAGGATGCTTGGCTGCAGGATCCGAAGACTCCTGACCTCCCACAGGGGGTTGGTGCTGGCAGTAGCTCTGTGCACAGGCAGCGTGCAGGTATGGTAGGGAAGGAGTATGATCTGTGTGTGAATGTGTTTGCACTTCAGAGTGTTCAAAAATAACTAATTGCTGTTTGTGTGTGTGGCTGTTTGTTTACTTTTTCAAAGGGCTTTTAAAGCTAATAATAGAAAAGGCAGATTATTGTTGTCACTGTGCGTATCAGCTATCACATCTCACCATGCAGGACCATGCTAATTATTTGGCCATCTCACCACTTTTGTTCATGTGTCTTTGACCACATGAGTCTTAAAGCGAGTCAGTGGCTTGTTTATGTCTTTGGTGATGATATTAAAATGAGCAGTCCCCTTTTTTCCCTCTTTATATTTTTCCCCTTATATATTTATTTATTCTTTTACCAGATCTCCATGGACATTTCCATTAAAACCCTAGCCCAGAAATACTTGAGCCTGACGTTTAATGCTTGCCTAGGTGTTCTCTCACAGGCTGTGAAACTCGCATGTCAGAACATGGAGCTTGACAAACATGGTCAGCACACCCTGAGGCTTGTTCTGCTCAGGCTTTTCAACCCTTTCTCCTGAGACATAAATATTTTAGTGCCTGCTAAAAAACCCAGGTGACATCAGCCTTTACTTTATACCTTCAAAACTGACAGGTGATGGGATGGACTGAAGTTTATTTTGTGTTCTAGGTCTTTAATTATTTATGTATTACTTTGTTGTTTGCGGTTTATGAGGTTTCGCAGATCGCAGATTCCATAATTTATTACAATTGTTGGATAGCTGCAGTGGGGACGGACAGAGAAGGTGGGGCAGGAGGGGAGGGGAGTGACATGTAGCAAATGTCCGGTCTGTTTGGAGTCAAACTGGGGGACTTAGCTGCTGAGGGCATTTCTTTTCCCCATGTGGTGTATGCCCCAATCACATAGCCATCTGTCTGCTCCAAATCTGAATATTTCTTCTATTACTGGATAAATCTGTCAGATGGTTAATTAGAAAAGTAAAGTTTTTGGATTAGTGTTCCAGTAGATAATAAATCAAATTTCACCTCAAAATATCCTAATTAAAATTCACTTTGTTAGTCCTTGGCAAGTAGAATAATTAGCTTTGGTGATCAACTAAACATGTATTATATTATACAGTTCTGTTCCACTTTTTCAGTGTTGCCTAAAACCACAACAGTTTCCCAATCAATATAATCTGTGATAATGATCTTTATTCTGATGTGATTTGTGATTGCTGATCAGTCTCAGTAACCAAACTACCAGTTTTGTGTTGTACTTCTATAGCACAGTCCTTAGTGCTAACCTGCTCGTTTAGCCCTTACAGTCCTGTGCAAAAGTCTTTAGCCAGTCATTTGTCATCTGCCACTTGTTTATATTTTGCCAGGAAAATGGGAAATGGGTGTAGTGACTTACTGAAACATCGGCAAATAAAGCTGAACCCCCCCCCCCCCCCCCCCAAGTATATTTTGTACAATTCTAATAACCTTGAAAGTCAATATTTGGTATGACCACCTTTATTCTTCAACACAGTCTGAACTTTCTTGTAATGTCTTCATGTAGTCTTCAGGAAAAGTTCTGCAGATTCCTGAAAGTCATTCTTTGGATGTTGGCTGCCTTTTCTTTGCAAATCACATCGTTAGTGCAGAAATACAAATTTTATGCCCGTTTTTCTTATGCTTGCTATGAATAAGTAAAGAAATGGGTAAAAATTGTCTCTTGGTTCTTTGCTAAGATGTTGTTTATATGTAGACACTACACTGGTTCATCTCTTAAGTTGGGGGGTTCTTTCATTTTTGAATGATTCATAGGTCAGTGTTCAAGCAAAAACCAACATTCCTCTGAAAATGGTCAGATACAAGATGTGAGTGGAAAAGCAGCCAATGTTCAAAGAAGGACTTTCACAAAGCCTGGAGAGAAAACTGTTGTTTAAGACCACAGTAACAAATCACACACCTGGGTGCTTGGAAGAAAAATACATAAAAGTTGGAGGTGGCTTGAGACTTTTGCACAATATTGTATATTTTGTACATTTCAATCACAGTTGATTGATACATCTAACAACTAAACACAAAGCAGACTGATATGAATGTGTGTCATTGTTTTTACAAGATTTTCATCACCGAAGTATCTAAGACATTGGCAAAAAAGATGAAAAATGAAATAAATGGATTTCAATTTTTTATAATGTCTGCTGAGTACACTCACACTTCACTGAATCCCAGAAATGTCACCCACACAGAGGTGCTGGAGGAAAATAGTCCAAGTCTTAAGGACTGGCATTTGTATTTCATGACAGATGCAGTTATTATCTAACACCTTTCTCATATTGGTTTATTTACCTGTAAACTCATTATGGATCTCTGGAAGCCTCCAGGATTTAATGTTCCATCCAGTTGACCTGTAGAGGGCACTCACAAAATCGTATCTCTCTCTCTCAAATCCAGCTCTGGCTATTCTGTGAAGGGTCTCAAAGTTTTATTCAGAACTCACAAGTGACAACACATGGTGATATTTTTTTTTCTCCTTGAGTTGGAACTTTTGTGCATCAAAGCTGTTTTTGTCCCCCCCCC